TGACATCAGAGACGACTCGTGACATCAGAGACTCCTCGTGACATCAGAGACGACTCGTGACATCAGAGACGGCTCGTGACATCACAGACGGGTCGTGACATCACAGACGGGTCGTGACATCACAGACTCCTCGTGACATCAGAGACGGCTCGTGACATCAGAGACGGCTCGTGACATCAGAGACTCCTCGTGACATCAGCAGAGACTCCTCGTGACATCAGAGACGGCTCGTGACATCAGAGACGGCTCGTGACATCAGAGACGACTCGTGACATCAGAGACGACTCGTGACATCAGAGACGGCTCGTGACATCACAGACTCCTCGTGACATCACAGACTCCTCGTGACATCACAGACTCCTCGTGACATCAGAGACGGATCGTGACATCAGAGACGGATCGTGACATCAGAGACGGATCGTGACATCACAGACTCCTCGTGACATCAGAGACGGGTCGTGACATCAGAGACGGCACGTGACATCAGAGACGACTCGTGACATCAGAGACGGGTCGTGACATCAGAGACGGCTCGTGACATCAGAGACGGATCGTGACATCAGAGACGATTCGTGACATCAGAGACGACTCGTGACATCAGAGACGGATCGTGACATCAGAGACGGGTCGTGACATCAGAGGTCAAAGGTCAGACTGAACAACTCACTTGAAATGATCCTGGAGCGCCACGTTGAAATCGAAGGAATCCCCGCGGTCGGCGAAACCGAGGCCGATGAATGCGTGACGCCCTGAGAGTCACAAAACACACTCGTTTATCATCACAGGGAGAATGTACATTATATACACATTTATGCATGATTTTCACACACACCGTTTCCATCCTCGATCCTGACGACGAAGTATCGGCTGGAGTCTGTGACGGCCTCGACTGCACTGCCCGGATACTGATCCACCGGAGCCTGAGCGAACAGCTCACCTGATCACATGACACACAGGTGTGAGAGTGTGTGAGTGTGTGCGAGTGTGTGTGTGCTTCAGTGTGTGTGTGTGTGAGTGTATACGGCCTCGACTGCACTGCCCGGATACTGATCCACCGGAGCCTGAGCGAACAGCTCACCTGATCACATGACACACAGGTGTGAGAGTGTGTGAGTGTGTGCGAGTGTGTGTGTGCTTCAGTGTGTGTGTGTGTGAGTGTATACGGCCTCGACTGCACTGCCCGGATACTGATCCACCGGAGCCTGAGCGAACAGCTCACCTGATCACATGACACACAGGTGTGAGAGTGTGTGAGTGTGTGCGAGTGTGTGTGTGCTTCAGTGTGTGTGTGTGTGAGTGTATACGGCCTCGACCGCACTGCCCGGATACTGATCCACCGGAGCCTGAGCGAACAGCTCACCTGATCACATGACACACAGGTGTGAGAGTGTGTGAGTGTGTGCGAGTGTGTGTGTGCTTCAGTGTGTGTGTGAGTGAGTGTATACGGCCTCGACCGCACTGCCCGGATACTGATCCACCGGAGCCTGAGCGAACAGCTCACCTGATCACATGACACACAGGTGAGAGAGAGTGTGTGTGTGTGTGCTCACCTGTGTTTTTGTCCTCTAGTTTGATGAAGACTGCGGTTCCTTTTGCTGTGATCTTCATGCGTCCGGTCCACGCCGGCTCGTCCAGCTTCCAGTCCGCCGCCCTGAAACAACATCATCACACGGCTCTGTGGAATGCTCCATTCTGATTGGTCAATCGCACCGTATGTTATTCCCAGATAACAGCAGAACACAGAAACTCAGGCTCGCCGGGTCAGCGCTACATACTCGCTAGGAACCGTTTTTCTTCATGGAAGTTTTGCTTTTGTCGAGCCAAATATTAAAACTCAGTCTTTATTAACATCGTGCCGTCCAGTATCGCGACTCGCTCTCTCGTTTCAAACGCAGCGGCGGCCATTTTGTGACTATTGTTTTGTACACTGTTGATTATGAGATACAAACAGGTACGATATTAAAACAGTTTAATCTGAAATCAATATCTCTGATCTCCATAATTATTAATGTGTTGAAATGCTGTGTAATAAGTGTTATGACTGTAAACCGTATCTCTGAAATGTCCGTCTAGTTTGATCTCGCCGCTGAAACGCTCTCTCCGCGCAGCTCTGCGTTTACAGAGATAATGCAGATCAATATTTCCTGTCTAATTATTTACTGATGTGCAAGTAGCCGTGTAATAACAGGATAATGTACATCCAGCCGGTTATTATCTCAGAATAAACCCCTACAGGTGTGTGTGTGTTAGCTCAGAATAAACCCCTACAGGTGTGTGTGTGTTAGCTCAGAATAAACCCCTACAGGTGTGTGTGTGTGTGTGTGTGATCTCAGAATAAACTCCTTCAGGTGTGTGTGTGTGTGTGTGTTAGCTCAGAATAAACCCCTACAGGTGTGTGTGTGTTAGCTCAGAATAAACCCCTACAGGTGTGTGTGTGTTAGCTCAGAATAAACCCCTACAGGTGTGTGTGTGTGTTAGCTCAGAATAAACCCCTACAGGT